TCCAGATGTGCGTTATTGAAAGCCCGAGTTCATGCAGATATGCGTCTAGTTATCATATGAAAGGGATGAGCACCTGGACTCGCTTTGAAAAAGAGGCTAAAGGCAAAGCATATTTGGGCAATCCGGGACCTTGCTTAGATATAGGTGGAACTGATCCATCAAATTATATACGATGCAACTAAACGATCGAAATTCCACTATCCGTTACTAACGACGAAAAATCCTTCAATTATAGGGATAAGTTTCTCTTCGCTTTTGGGTACCATCAAGCTCATAACACCTCACTGTAAAAACAGACGGTGCAGGTACGTTACGACAGCACGCACATCAAGTTATCCTTTTCACGTAAATTGGATTGAAAAATCTTTACAAAATTAGATACATCCTTAACTTAAAGGACTTCTGCCGAAGACGTGAACTTAAGTTGGCAAAAGAGAAGAGCTTTACGCGAGTTTCCAGCCGACGCAAATGTACCCCTACTCAAGCACATTCGTGAGGTCTGGGATTTCAAATTGATAATCATTTGCATGTTTCCTCACGACAACCTTGGACATAACGTAAGGGACAATTAAACATTTAGAAATAACACGAAGAACTTTAAATCTGAAAAGTGGCATCGAACAGTCCTTGAAACGATGGAAAGTCGTAATTCCCGGTAATCGCATACCTTTGATCACTCAAGCACATGTAGACTGTTTCCACTGGTTTCCATGGCTAAAAGCCTATAAAAGTAATGACCACGACTTCGTGGATGAACCAATCATTCGAAGACATGATTACGAGCTAAAGAACTCAACCCATGATTGATACAGATGCTCCCTTGCTTAGATGTCTGCTCGATCGAAGACTGCTGTTCCACATCAAGTGAGAGGTTTGTGTTGCGCAACATCTTCTCTTGGTCACATGATTAAGTGCCCAGCAACGTGTGGACAGTGCAGTACGGGACGGTTGATTAGAAAGCATGACAAATAATCCTTTGGGGGGGAGGGTTAAGTGGGCACGATTTTAGAATGCGGTTAAATGAGTGTCTAAAAATGCCGACACTCATCCAAGAATGTTCCAACAAATGGAAGAGACAATTAATTTTATTATTAATACAGAGAATTGCTCATAAAATTGGGAGTAATAATTTGGTTATCTGCTATTTTTCATGTGGGTAATTTGAAACACATGTTCTGATTGGCTACCTGAGCTAGCAAGTTGGGCGCATCTTGCCCGCTCTGAATTAGCTGTTTTGATCTCGCACAAGATAAGCCTTGTG